GCATACAAAGCCCTAGGAGATTCTCCTTATAATTACCAGCCGTAGCCGCAAAGAATATGAGACAAGGAAGAAGAAAGAAGAGCTTTACCTTAGGCGTGAGCAAGCAATTGCAGTGCTTTCCCTCCGTTTACCCCCCAGTCTTCATTGGTGTCCTCTATAGCCAGACGATAACAGAGCGGTGATCAGGCCTTGAGAGAGGGTGATCACCAAGACAGGCGTGGTGCTGATTAGGATTGTCATGATAGAGCCCCGATTTTAAGAGTCGTTCTTCCTTTTTTCTTAAACTCTTACTTTATTTGGGGTTGTATTAAACGATTTAATCTTGGATGATCTTTGATAACACCATGAATGTTTTACTTGGTGCTAAACTTTGTTTTTCATGAACAATGTTTTATGTTTATGAATGATGAATTATGTTTTCTTATGATTGTTTTGCTCATAGTTTAAATATTTTGCCTTAACACTGTAAGAACATCGAGAGATCGCCTGGGGTTTCGGTAAAACATGTCTGGGCATTGTAAGAGAATCGAGAGATAGCCTTTTGTCTAGAAAGTGATTCTTAAATTTAAGAGAATTAAAAGAGATCAACGTGAGGAAAGGAATGAATCTGGGATGGTGAAGTTCTAACTTGTCTACCTTAGAAATAAAGAGTGAGTTTCAAATGACTAAAAGGGATAAAAGCTAGAGTAGGTTAAGACAACATCTATAGTTAACGTCGAGAGGTATTGCCATAGCAACCGTCTAAGAAAACCTAGTAATCCTGTCGGGCAGTTTAGTGAGTCATAATAATTCATTTTGGGCATAAAATACTTGTTGCCAAGACAATGGTTTAACATCAATGCTCTGTGATACGTCTGAATATGTGAGGTTGTTTGCATTATATTTAATCCAATACTTGTTTTGTTTTATCTGTCTGCATATTTTCTTTTTCTCGACCACACTCGCTAAAATCATTGAATCATTATTCTTAGCTCCTTAATATTAACTTTAATACTTAGTAGGATTAATTTGTGGCATTAGTTCTAGTTGTGGTGAAAAGATATTTCTAATTCAATACATGTGGGGGACGATACTCACTCACTAATATATTACTTGCATCAATTGTGTATACTTGCACGTATTAGCTTGCCTTAGCATATACATTCATAAGCGATCACGTCTCATAGTTCTACTGTCTAAATATAGTGCTAGCAACCCTAACTGGCCCTCTACCCCTCTAAACAGATGGTTTTGATAGCTAAGTTACTACTGATTATTTGCCTTGGTTTCATAGGCAGTCTTTGATGAAGTGGTCTAATGGGCCACAACTGTAGCAACATATAACTCCCTTTTGCCATGTCCCCTAGTGTCTCTTCCCGTACTGAGAACACATGGGATGGGTGTATCCTCTAAATAGATCAATGGCGCTACTCCCAGAATCCCAGTTCAATGATATCCTTCTGGAGTCAGACCTATCTCAGCATGTGAAACTCTTCCCGATCCTCCTTGACTTTTTTGTTAGGGGCCTCAATGAACCCTGACTATCTCTGGCCCTATTAGCCAAAGTTTGACAAGGCCTCGCTGACACAGAGACTCTCATAGTCTTCCCCACAATCTCACTGAATTGTCTGGCCTGTCTATCCAGTGCTATCTTGATAACCTTCTCCTGGTGGGTCAACTTAGCAAAGACCCTAGAAGGATCGAAAGCGAGGTGAGTTAAAATGTCACATTGAAGATCTTCTCTAAACTTGTGACAGCGAGGATCCTTATCGGGATCAATTTTGTAACATATTTGCTAAGCCTGAGAAACTCTTGCTCATACTTCATCACTGAGCTGTCACCCTAATTCAGGTGTAGGAACTTCTCCATCAAGTCATTGGTATGGATCTACCCGATGTACTTTTCTCTAAACTCTATGAAAAATTACTCCCAAGTCATCATCTCTAGCTCCACCTCCATATCAATAGTCTCTCACCAATTTATCCCGTCACCCTTAAGCAGGGCGGTGACACACTCAAGGTTACCCACTGGGGTAAGATGAAACTATCTGAGGGTGCAGAGCGTCTCACGAAGCCACTGGTATACTGTTATGGGATCATCCTCTGAATCTAAGAACTCGGTTATCTTATATCTATAGAGTGACTCTACTGGGGATGATGTCCATGAAGAAATTCGCCTCCTTAACCCTCGCATCTAATGGAGTATGCCGCTTATAGGTGTCCAGGACAAATCCCTCACTGATATCTACTGGTGATAAGACATGAATCTCAACTGTGCCATTCTGACTATAGGTTGGGTTATCTGCTGGGTCATTATTGTAACACCTTGAAACCTTGGTAAGTAGAATAGGTCAACCCGAGATCCATTTTAGAGCCCGAAGGATTTATTAAAAGCTTGGACTAAGTTTATTTGGAATTGGGTTGAGTTGAGCCCAAAATATTTATGAAAAATAATCATATTTGTATGAGCTTGAAAGTGTAGGGACCTTGTTTTAAGATGAAAACTTCCCCTTATTTTTTATCATGTCACCTAAACTAGCCCCAAAATATCTCACCAACTCTTCTTCTTCTTCTTTCCATTTTCTTCTCTGCCACTTCCTTTCTCAAGTATAGATTTTTAAGCATTCCAATTCTAGTTGGTTGATCTAAGGTAAGAATGTGAATCATCTTTTTTCAATCTTTAATTTGATCTCCATATTGCAAGTTTTAGATTAAGTTTCAAAATGGGTTTTTGTAAGGTTAAAGAGAAATCTTGGATTCTAAGTTGTTTTGATAGATTTAAGTTCTAGGAAATGTTCCCATCCTTATTTTGAAGACTTAGAATTTCTTTTCTTACCCTTAAATAGTGAAACAAGTGGGACAAAGTTCAAAAGCTAAAGGAAAAGAGAAATCACCTCTTGAGTGAGTTGAGGGCTTTATATTTTAGCCAAAAAATACAAGGTAACCACACTTACAACTTCTTCATACTTCTAGTGGGTCATTAGAAGTGTTAGATAACATGAAAATTTAGAAATAAGCTTGATGAGAATGTTAATGGTATATTCAATGTTTTATGTTATAAGTATGTTTTGAAGCCTTATTTATGACTCTTATTGATCACATAAGACATAATAATAATTAGGAACCTTATTGTAGCATTGTGGGTGAGCTTGGGTGTAAATTTCGAGCCTAAGTAAGGTCTTTTTGTAAGGGGTATCAATACAGTAAGAATAATACCAATACTATTCTTCAGAAAGTGTAAAATTGAACTAGTTGAACGAGAGTATTGACTTCTTCAAAGAGTACTAATTTTGAGGAATTTTTTAAAACATTGAAGCTAAAATTGTATTGGTACTCATGGTAGTACTGAAATCAATGTAGAAGTATTGATACTCTCCACTGGAGTAACGATACTGAGATTATTTTCTAAAGATTGAATATAAATTTAATATCGATACCTTGTTTAGTACTGGTACCTAGCTTGGAAGTATCGATACTAGAAGGTAAGTATCAATACTATCCTCATTCAAAGCATGTAATATTAGGGTAGAGTATCGATACATAAGGCAAAGTATCGATACTTAGAGGTCAGTATTGATACTGAAAGGCCAGTATCGATACCAGTGTACATATTAAGTTAAGAATTTTTAGGGGATTGTAATGTGGAATGAGGTTCCCAAGATCTCTATAATTACTCTCAAATAAGGTTACTATAGGAAATAATAATAATGCCAAATAAAACATCGAAATGAGATAAAGTAGGGATAAATAAAACTAGCCTTGTTTGATGCACGAGAAATGAATCGGATACTGGAGTTCCTTTAGTTCAGGGTGTCAAAGTATAGAATCAATTCAGATATCCTTAGAGAGTGTGCAAGGCACTTTAAACTGACTGGCTAGGGCGTAAGATCCAATACTCGCAAAGGGTGGGCTAGTCGGGGGTGTGGTGTCCAATACACAAATTTTAGGAGACATATTCTCGGTAGACTATAGGGGTGTTTGAGCTCCAAGATGCAGATATACCTCCGCCTTAGCATGATATCTACCATAGTGTAGAGAGTGAGTATCACAAGGAAACTCGCTAATGATTGAAATTAAATAGATTCATTATTCATTTCTATCAGATGTATGATCATGTTATAAATGAAACCCTACTATTATGATTTAGTTGTTAGTGTGGCATTGAGCAAGTTAGCTCAGCGTTTAGAATTTGTTTCCTTATGCAGATTCTTAGGTGGAGCACTTGAAAAACTTTTGTATCGGGTAGATTTAGGCCTAGATTTTTGGAGCAAAGTACGCTTCGATTTCTTTTTAGAGGGCATGTAAATTTGTAACCTTTATTTTGTATAATCGAGTCGTAACTTGTTTTAAATTCAAATTTTGTACATTTGATTTTTGTATCCGTGGGAGCTCCCGACTGTAAACTATTTTGTAGGAAAGTTATTATCTATTTTAGCACAAAAAATCATTAATTAATGTTTATCCATTGAATATGCTAAAGAAAATTTTGGTTAGCCACTTTAGTGGTTCTATGTGATGCTCTCATCGGACGAATGTGTGTCGTATTAGTGTAGGGTGTTACATTTATTGGTACCAAAGCATTAGGTTTAGATGTTCATAGGACCCGTGGGTCAGGGTCAGAAAAAGCTTATGAATATACATGCCTCTAGGGATGTTAAAAGTACTTATGCTTTTGAAAATATCTATAGTAACCCCTCTTATTGCTTAAATTTCAGAGACTAGATATGGATTAGAGCCCATGCCACAGTTAGGATGGTAGACATGAGAGTGGGAAGTCCCTTGCAGAGGATCTAGGTGATAAATTTGTCCTCGATATAGACTTTGAGGAACGTGAGGATGTGGGGTCGAGAAGGCGACATTCTTTAGAGATTTGACGAAGACCTTTAGGCGTATAGCCAGAGCCCTACCTCAGACACCATCTACCTTACCTACCCAGCTAGTTTAGCCAGCCCCAGCTGATATATAACCTTAGGAGAATCTAGTTGAAAGGCTCAAGAGATATCGAACCTTAAATATTTCAGCATGGAAGACGACAATTCAATAGCAGTAGATCAATGGCTTAGAGAGACCCTTCAGACTCTTTGCCAGCTACACCTCACTCCTGAGGGTATGTTAGAATGTGCCACCTCCCTGCTAAAAAACGTCGCCATATATTGATAAGAGATGGTCAAGATGTCCCTACAGCCGGAGCGACCTACCTGGGATCACTTCCTAGAAGAATTTCGTCAGAAATATATTAGAGATGCTCATATGGATGCCTTGAAAGACCAATTTATCCATTTCACCTAGGGGATCGTACATTGTTTGAGTATGAGGTGGAGTTCCTCCGTCTAAGACGATATTAACCAAAACAGTGTCGATAGAGTATCATCGCTGCTGAAATTTTAGAGAGGGCCTTGTTTGGATATTTTGACCCACTTAGCTGTCGATCCACTGATAGTATTTATTGAGTTAGTCCGACAGAAAAAAGCTATCGAGAGGGTTTTGGAGAAGTGAGCAACAGGGCAGAAGCTACCTCTAGTTAAAATAGAGGAATTGTAAGGTCATCATGACTTTACCAGTAGCCGAAGAGGGTGAGAGATTCTCAGGGGTATTGTAGAGTTCCAGCAGGCCAATCAGCAGGTCTGGTCACAGTGTGAGTAGAGGTGGTGGATGATCTAACTAGCGTAGGAGGTCATTGGCCACTGTATCAGTTAAGAGTTCTAGAGGTTATTCAAGGTCACAGTCTTATCCCAACTGTTCCACCTACAGTAAGAGGCATCTAGGGGTTTTCCAGAAGGGGACCAGAGGCTGTTATTGCTGTGGTTCCTTGGACCACTTTGTCAGAGATTTCCTGGTGGCTTAGGAGGTGACCCCAGGTTTGACCCAAAGATCAACAACATCATTTCAAAAAGGTAGGAGTTCTAGATCCGGTCAGTATGGTAGGGTACAACCAGAACTGGAGCCAGTACTGAGCCCAGAGTAGTCACTCGTCAATATACCATCCAATATAGGGAGGACTGTAATGCCACTGATGTGATTTCAGGTACCTTTATCGTATTTTCCCTTCATGTTATTAGATTAATTGACCCGAATCACCCACTCTTATATTTACTATGATCTAGTGCAAGAAATAAATATCCTAACTAAGAACCTCAACATAGGAGTGCGAGTGTCCACCTTTTAGGATTAGACTTCCTTGTAGACAAATTCCATCGTAGATGCCCAGTTGAAATTCAATATGAGATTTTTCCTGTTGATCTTATAGAGCTGCCTTTTAGAGAGTTTGATCTTATTTTGGGCATGGAATAGTTGTTAGAGCACGATTCGAGTTTGAGATGTAAGCTTAATATGGCTTAAACTTCAGAAGAGATGGGACTAAGATCATCATGTTTGGCATAGAAGTAGTATATGGGTTTGCTTCAATGTCCATTGCTCGCTACTAAATGAAACTGATGGAACTAAAGGAGTTAAAGTCGTAAGTTCAAGTGTTCTCGATAATGGGTTTATCTTTCCAAGTATTTCTCTTTGGGCATCTTCATCCTCTCCGTTAAAAAGAAGTACGGGTCGATGAGGCTTTGCATCGACTATCGTCAATTAAAAAAACAAGAACCATTATCCCCTTTCCAGAATCGATGACCTCTTAGATCAGCTTAAAGGAACATGTGTTTTCTTATTAGGATGGGAGAGTTGTAAGGCCCCGAAACCAGGGTCAGTAGTTTGGATCAACCCGAGATCTATTTTAGATCCCAAATGATTTATTAAAATCGCTTGGACTAAGTTTATTTGGAATTAGGCTGAGTTGGGCCTAAAATATTTATGAAAGGTAATGATATTTGTATGAGCTTGAAAGTGTAGTGACCTAAAGTATAGTTTACCGTTTTTTAAGATGAAAATTTCCCTTTATTTTTATATCAGGTCACGTAAATTAACCCCTAAATATCTCACAAATTCTTCTTTTTCTTCCTTCCATTTTCTTCTATTTCTCTTCATTTCTCAAGTATATATTTTAAGCATTCCAATTCTAGTTGGTAGAGCCAAGGTAAGAATGTGAGTCATCATATTTCAAGCTTTAATTTGAGCTACATATTGCAAGCTTTAGATTGAGTTTCCAAAAAAGGTTCCTGAGAGATTAAAGAGATCTTGGATTCTAAGTTGTTTTTATAGTTTTAGGAAATGTTCTCATCATTATTTCCATAACTTAGTTCAGTTATAATTTATATTCTTACCCTTAAGTAGTGAAAGAAGTGGGAGAAAACTCAAAAGCTAAAAGGAAAATTAAAGTACCTCTTGAGTGAGTTGGGGTTTTACATTTAGCTAAGAATACATGGTAACCACACTTACAAATTCTTTATACTTTTAGTGGATTATTAGAAGTGTTAGATAGCATGAAAATTTAGAAATAAGCTTGATGAGCATGTTAATGATAGATTCAATGTTTTATGTTATAAGTATGTTTTGAAGCCTTATTTATGAGTCGTATTAACAATATATGACATTAATAATAATTGGGTACCTCATTGTAGCAATGTGGGTCAGTTTGGGTGTAAATTTCAAGCCTAAGTAAGGCCTTTTCGAGAAGTAGTATCGGTACTGCAAGAATAATACCAATACCGTTCTTTAGGAAGTGTAAAATTGACTTAGTTTAATGGGAGTATTGACACCCCTTAAAGGAGTATCGATACTAAGGAATTTTTCAAAATATCAGAGCTAAAATTGGTATTGGAACTTATGGGAGTATCGATACCCATGGTAGAAGTATCGATACTCCTATTGAAGTACCGATACTAAGATTATTTTCTAAACATTGAATCTAAATTTAGAATCGATACCCCGTTTAGTATCGGTAACCTAGCTTGGATGTAACACCCCCAACCCGTATCCAACCCGGATACGAGTCCGAAGTGTCGCATTGACTTTTCAAACCTTTATTCGTATAAAATAGTGAGTAATTTTAAAAACTTTTATAACATTTAACTTATTCAAAATATTTACAAAACTATTCAAGCTTATTCAATATATTCTTTTGATTAATGCCAACTAGAACTTTATATATAAAAAATATACATATAATTCACCTTTCTTCTGATTTGACATTCGGTAAGGAGAACTGACCTGCCTTGTTCCTCTTTACTTCTTTTTTGCTTTCCAAACCTACGTGTGAAACAATCACACGCTAAGTCGATGACTTAGTGAGACATATAAAACATATAATATTTCATATAACATAAAGCATACATAAACATATACCATCATTATCATAATCTCTATCATTATCATTAAGAAACACATATAACATCATATGGTTCATGTAACACATTTCAAACCACTTACTTTTGATAACCATTTATAAACCCATCGTATATATATCATATTCAGTATGTTTGTTTAATCTCTTTATTAGCCCATGTACACTAGTGAGAACTTAAGGTATGTGAGTACATTGAGGTTGTGCACACATATGCTGTTACCACAGCTCATATAAATGTCCCGAAGGACCACATATCATTCCTTAAGAATCATATACATATGCAAGGATCAAGTATGTGTCTCACCAGACTTCACACATGTTCCAAAGAATACATATAAGTCCCGAAGGACCTATCCAGAGGTCATAAAGATCCTCGGTAACTATCCTGAGGTCATAAAGATCCTTGGAAACTGTCCATAAGTTCCGAAGAACCTAGGTAAATTGTCCATATGTTCCTTAGAACATAGGTATACTGTCCATATGTCTCAAAAGACATAGGTAATTCTGTCCATATGTTCCGTAGAACATAGGTATACCCTCGACTCTTGGCATGCTAACTATACCCCTAGCTCTCATATCACATAACATGGGCATTATCATTTATAACATTTCATATCACTTGTTATTTCTCTTCTGTCACATACCACATGTATGTGTAACCATATATCTCATATCATATCACATGTATCACAAGTGCATGTATTCACGTAGATCGTTTCATATGACTTATATCATTTCTCATTTGTTCATGTAACTTGCATGTCATATCATGTAACATATAACACATAATCATATAGGCTCACAGTTTTATCACCTATCATGTTATTTCACATATACACTTTTATATCGCATAAACTCATATATATCATATCACCTATAATAACATATGACACATATACCCATAACTTCATATCACATACTTATATCAATTCACACTTAGTCACATGGGTCATTTCTCATAACATATATCACATCACATATGTTCATGGTTATATCCCATAGCATATAAAATAATATATAAACTTATATATTTATTCATGTGTATACTTTCATTTGGCCTATATATCAATTTCATATAACTTATCTCATAACTTATTTGATAATCATATATATTCTCATCTTATAACTTATATTACCTATGCATATAACCTTATGACTTATTATCAAGTACTCAACTAATGTTCCTATATGGTTCCATCTTTATCATATAACCTATGAGCTATTCTTATATTACCCTATATCAACCATACTTTGTTTATCTCACTTTTCATATCATTCATTTATCACATATATGTCACTTTTCACTTATCACATAGTTTACATCCTATGATCATAGAATCATATCAATAACACATATACTCATGCACACATATAAATCATAACAAACATATACCTCTATGAATTCATGCATTTTACTATTGGAAATAGACTTATCATAAGTCTTATTTTCCATTTAACATAATATACTAAATAATGTGCACTCACCTTAGCTTTGCTTTGATTCGATTCTAATCCTTCAATTGATTTAGAACGGGATCACGTTATATATATACATAATCATACATATATCTATATTAGTATTATAACTAATATACTCTAATGGTTCACTCTTTAGATTAAGATAAATGTCAATTTCTTCTTTCAATAAGGGTATGCATCGATACACTACTGATGCATCGGTGCATAAAATACATTCGATGTTGTATTATTATTGGGATGCATCGATGCACTAATTGCATTCGATGTTTCTATTTTAAAAGAGTGCATTGATGCACTACCTGTGCATCGATACACCTTCAAACAAATTTCTGGGTTTTAACCTTGATGCATCGATGCACAATGAATATGCATCGATGCACTCTGCCCAGAATCCTCTT